TATTTAATCACAATCCAAATTCAGAGCTGTATCAAGCTTGAATGTTGTGTCCATACTTGCCCTAACTGTTCAGGGTTCGACCTCTGCGGTCGTTTCAAGCTGCGCCCTGCGGAGCATTTTATTAAAATCTTTAATAATGGAATGTTTTGGACCAATAAATAAATTCATGATCTGTCAGTTGCTGCTATTTTAGCTATTTCAACACTTAAACTTTTCACGTTGGGTTAAATTCACAATTCGAATGATAAGTGTGCCTTTCATATCCACATTTTTGTCTAGCCTGCAACTTTTGTCGCAAAAAGCTCAACATAGGGATAGTGATCTGGCGGCGGCAGCGGTTAACTAACTTCTTAAAAGCTTTATATTTTAGAAGGTGGAAGACCTGGATGCTTCATACTTTGTATATAGATGCCTTATGTTACGAAGTATCCGTCTGTCACATGTCCATTGTCCTTGACCTCATTTTCATGGTTCAGTGACTACTTGAAAAAAAAGTTAAGTTTTTTTGTAATGTTAATTTCTCTCTTATTATGAGTAATAGGATAACTATATTTGGTATGTGTGTACCTTGCAAGGTCCTCATGCCCGTCAGACAGTTTTCGCTTGACCTCGACCTCATTTCATGGATCAGTGAACAAGGTTAAGTTTTGGTGGTCAAGTCCATATCTCAGATACTATAAGCAATAGGTCTAGTATATTCAGTGTATGGAAGGACTGTAAGGTGTACATGTCCAACTGGCAGGTGTCATCTGACCTTGACCTCATTTTCATGGTTCAGTGGTTATAGTTAAGTTTTTGTGTTTTGGTCTGTTTTTCTTATACTGTATGCTATAGGTCTACTATATTTGGTGTATGGAATGATTGTAAGATGTACATGTCTAGCTGGCAGGTGTCATCTGACCTTGACCTCATTTTCATGGTTTAGTGGTTAAAGTTAAGTTTTTGTGTTTTGGTCTATTTTTATTCTAATAATGTATGCAATAGGTCAGCCTTATTTGGTGTATGGAAACATTTTATGATGTACATGTCTAGCTGGCAGGTGTCATCTGACCTTGACCTCATTTTCATGGTTCAGTGGTCAAAGTTAAGTTTTTTGAGTTTTGGTCTTTTTATACGACCGCAAAAAAATTTTTGTGGTCGTATATTGGTATGACGTTGGCGTCGTCGTCGTCGTCGTCGTCGTCGTCGTCCGAAGACACATTGGTTTTCGCACTCTAACTTTAGTTTAAGTGAATGGATCTCTATGAAATTTTACCACAAGGTTCAATACCACAAAAGGAAGGTTGGGATTGATTTTGGGGGTTATGGTACCAACAGTAAAGGAATTAGGGGCCAAAAAGGGGCCAAAAATAAGCATTTTTGTAACTTCCAGACATAACTTGTGTGTTAGTGTATGGATCTCTCTGACATTGTACCACAAGGTTCCATATCACAAAAGGAATGCTGGGATTGATTTTGGGGGTAATGGCCTCAAAATTTTAGGAATTAGGGGCCAAAAAAGGGGCAAAACACAAGCATTTTTCTAGTTTCATGACAATAACTTGTGTGTAAGTGTATGGATCTTTCTGAAATTGTACTACAAGGTTCCATATCATAAAGGGAAAGCTGGAATTGAGTTTTGGGGTAATAGCCGAAATATTTAGGAATTGGGGGCCAAAAAGGGGCCAAAAATAAGCATTTTTCTAGTTTCCAGACAATAACTTGTGTTCAAGTGTATGGATCTCTCTGAAATTGTACTGCAAGGTACCATACCACAAAGGGAAGGCTGGGATTGATGATGGGGATAATTGCCTCAATATTTTAGGAATAAGGGGCCAAAAAGGGGCAAAAAAACAAGCATTTTTACAGTTTCAGGACAATAACTTGTGTGTAAGTGTATGGATCTCTCTGAAATTGTACTGCAAGGTACCATACCACAAAGGGAAGGCTGGGATTGATGATGGGGGTAATTGCCTCAATATTTTAGGAATTTGGGGCCAAAAAGGGGCCAATAAACACATTTTTCTAGTTTCCAGACAATAACTTGTGTTCAAGTGTATGGATCTCTCTGAAATTGTACTGCAAGGTACCATACCACAAAGGGAGGCTGGGATTGAGTTTGGGGGTGATGAATCATAAGGGGGTCCAAAATTTGGGGGGGGGAATTTTTTTTTTTTCATTTTTTTTCTTTTTTTCATTTTTTAAAATTTTTCTTTTAAAATTTTCCATTTTAAGTTGGTTATTTCTGATTTATATTTAAAAGCAAATAATAATGATATGGTAGGAGATACATACCAAACAGGATGTGTAAATTATTATATAATAAGTATTGTGCAATAGCAAGAAATTTTCAATTGCACAGTATTGCACAATAGCAAGAAATCTTCAATTGCACAGTATTGCGCAATAGCAAGAAATCTTCAATTGCACAGTATTGCGCAAAAGCAAGAAATATCCAATAGCACAATATTGCGCAATAGCAAGAAATTGTCAATTGTACAGTATTGCGCAATAGCAAGAAATATTTAATTGCACAGTATTGTGCAAAAGAAGATACTTTGTATAAATTGCTTATTTCTTGACCAATTTCAATGGGGTTTTATTCTTGAATTCTTGGGGTTCTTTAATATGCTGAATCTAACCGTGTATTTAATTTTTGGATTTTGGGCCCCGTTTTTAAATTGGTCCACACTGAGGTCCAAAGGGTCCAAAATTAAACTTTGTTTGATTTCATCAAAAATTGAATTATTGGGGTTCTTTGATATGCCGAATCTAACCGTGTATTTAGATTCTTAAATTTTGGTTCCGTTTTCAAATTGGTCTACATTAAGGTCCAAAGGGTCCAAAATTAAACTTAGTTTGATTTTAACAAAAATTTAATTCTTAGGGTTCTTTGATATGCTGAATCTAAACATGTATTTAGATTTTTTGATTATGGGCCCAGTTTTCAAGTTGGTCCAAATCGGGGTCCAAAATTAAATTTGTTTGATTTCAACAAAAATTGAATATATGGGGTTCTTTGATATGCTGAATCTAACCATGTATTTAGATTTTTTATTTTTGGGTCTCGTTATCAACTTTGTCCACATTGAGGTCAAAAGGGTCCAAAATTAAACTTTGTTTGATTTCATCAAAAATTGAATTATTGGGGTTCTTTGATATGCCGAATCTAACCGTGTATTTAGATTCTTAATTTTTGGTTCGGTTTTCAAATTGGTCTACATTAAGGTCCAAAGGGTCCAAAATTAAACTTAGTTTGATTTTAACAAAAATTGAATTCTTAGGGTTCTTTGATATGCTGAATCTAAACATGTATTTAGATTTTTGATTATGGGCCCAGTTTTCAAGTTGGTCCAAATCGGGGTCCAAAATTAAACTTTGTTTGATTTCAACAAAAATTGAATATATGGAGTTCTTTGATATGCTGAATCTAACCATGTATTTAGATTTTTGATTTTTGGGCCCCGTTATCAACTTTGTCCACATTGAGGTCAAAAGGGTCCAAAATTAAACTTTGTTTGATTTCATCAAAAATTGAATTCTTGGGGTTCTTTGATATGCTGAATCTAACCATGTATTTAGATTTTGGATATTGGACCATAATAGGTGAATGTCCAATTTAAAATTTTTAAGTTCTTAGACCACATTCATTCTTTGTCAGAAACCTATGCTGTGTCAAATATTTAATCACAATCCAAATTCAAAGCTGTATCAAGCTTGAATGTTGTGTCCATACTTGCCCCAACTGTTCAGGGTTCGACCTCTGCGGTCGTATCAAGCTGCGCCCTGCGGAGCATTTTATTTTCTAATACTATATGCAATAGTTCAACGATATTTGGTGTATGGAAATAATTTATGATCTATATGTCAGTCACGCAGGTTTTATTTGACCTTGACCTCATTTTCAAGGTTCATTGCTCAGTGTTAAGTTTTTGTGTTTTTGTCTGTTTTTCTTAAACTATAAGCAATAGGTCAACTAGATTTGTTGTATGGAAGAATTGTTCGCTGTACATGCCTGCCTAGCATGGTTCATCTGACCTTGACTTCATTTTCATGGTTCATTGGTCAATGTTTAGTTTACTTGGTTAATGTTAAGTTTATGTGACAGTTGTAATAAAGCTTTATATTTAGGTCTAACATAATATCAATGATTAGTAAAGAAGGCGAGACATTTCAGCGTGTGCACTCTTGTTCTAATACTATATGAAATAGGTCAACTATATTTGGTGTATGGAAATATTTTATGATGTACATGTCAGTCTCGCAGGTTTTATTTGATCTTGACCTCATTTTCATGGTTCATTGCTCAGTGTTAAGTTTTTATGTTTTGGTCTGTTTTTCTTAAACTATAAGCAATAGGTCAACTATATTTGTTGTATGGAAAGTTGTAAGCTGTATATGTCTGCCTGGCATGGTTCATCTGACCTTGACCTCATTTTCATGGTTCATTGGTCAATGTTTAGTTTTCTTGGTTAAGTCTGTTTCTTAGAAACTATAAGCAATAAGTCAACTATATTTGTTGTATGGAAAGTTGTAAGCTGTTCATGTCTGCCTGGCATGGTTCATCTGACCTTGACCTCATTTTCATGGTTCATTGGTCAATATTTAGTTTTCTTGGTTAAGTCTGTTTCTTAGAAACTATAAGCAATAGGTCAACTATATTTAGTGTATTGAATGATTGTTAGGTGTACATGTATTTCTCGTTTGGTTAATATGACCTTGACCTCATTTTCTTGGATCATGTTAAGTTTATGTGATAGTTGTAGTAAAGCTTAATATTTAGGACTATCAACATAATATCAATGGTTAGTAAAGAAGGCGAGACATTTCAGCGTGTGCACTCTTGTTGTTTTGTACAAACTATTTGTGCTGGGGATATTTTTGTGCATTTTACCTTAATGCTAAATAAGCAAAAAATACACACCCCATTGATGAAAATATTCCTATTTACAGTAGATTTATGGTATAATTTCTTGACATATGAATGATTTAGATTAATTGAATACTAAATTACATTTCAGTCTAATGGTTCCAGATTTGACGCCTAACATGGGAGTTTTCTGGTATTTTTTCACAGAGATGTTTGAACATTTCCGAATGTTCTTTATATGTGTGTTCCAGATAAATGTAGTCATATATACTGTTCCATTATCAGTAAAACTTAAGTAAGTTTGTCGTTCATCTTTCTTGAAAGAATTAGAAATATTTTTGTTTCATACCAGTGTATTAAAATATATAATAGACAGAAACAAAATATATACATTGTTGAATTACATTATGAACAAAGATTATCTTGATATTTTATTTTTTGGAAACTATTTGTGCATTTAAAAGTAGGTGTAAAATCAAATAAAAAACCTGAATAGAGTATTAAAGATTTGTTCTATAGAAAAAAGTAAATATAGATATTAAGAGAAAAATAGCATCTAATATAAAAAATAAGGAGATGTGATATGATTGCCAATGAGACAATTATCCATATTTAAAATAAAGGGCAAAGATGTGAACAATATCTTGTCACCATACTGCTTCCAACTAAAACAAAACCAATACAAGTATTTTTAAGGTTTGTTATAGTTGAATATAACATTTTTATTCTATATTTTGAATTCCTTTCAGAGAGCATCCTGTGTTTTTAATGTATATACTAGTCAGTTTGATTTGCATATTTAAATCGTACCCGAGTTATAGTGATGTAGGACTCATGTTATCATTGTTACCATTGTGGAGATACGCTTTTGAATGTAAGTATACAAATATAACTGTACATGAAGTGATCCTAATCCTGCCAGTTATTATTGTAAGACGATAGATAGTCTAGTACTTTGATTTAGTTCTTTTTTTTACAGCCTTCAACAATGAGCAATATCCATGCCTTATAGTCAGCTATATAAGACCTTTATTAAATTCTTTGGATATTCAAACATATTGTAAATAAATGAAAATGTTACATCAAGAAGTTTTGGTGGTTGGTAAATGTGTTTAATTGAGGTCTTGAGCTGGCATTTCAGTAATTGCTAGTAGTCCATTGTTAATTTATGTTGATCATTATCATTTTGCTTAGTTTCTTCTGTTACCAATTCTAACATGGGAATCTGACCTCTTTAAAACTGAGTTTTACTTTGCGTATCGTTGTGTTAGTATATTCCACATTGGCTGGAGGGTGGAGGATATTCTTGCTGCTTTGAAGACCAATTGGTGGCATTGGGCTATTATCTGCTTTTGGTTGGGTTGTTGTCTCTTTGACTCATTCCCTGTTTCAATTCTCAATTCTATATATTCTAAACAGCATCTCTGCAAGGTTGGTTTCTAGATATTTTCAATAATACAATGTGTAATAGATATTTTCACATTATTTGTCTGTATTTAATATTTATGTTATGTTTAGTTTTTAAAATTGAAAATTGTTTTTTTTTTGTTTTTTTTTTTACAGATATGAGAAATTCATTTGTAGTAGCCTGTATGTATATTTGTACGACAGTGTTTGGTCCTATACTGTACCATTTATGGATCTATGCAGGGAGTGCTAATGCCAACTTCTATTTTGCAACATCTCTAGCATTTTCTACAGCTCAGGTAAGGCAATTAAGTTTTTACAGAGTATACATTTAACTTGTATGCAATTTTAAAACCAAAAGGATCTTAATTTTAAATAATCAAGTTACAACGAATTTACTGATTTGTATATATAAAAATAAGGAGATGAGGTATGATTGCCAATGTGACAACTATCCACTAAAGTTCAAATAAAGTGGATGTAAGCAATTATAGGCAACCATATGGCCTTCAACAATGAGAAAAACCCATTCCATATAGTCGGCTATAAAAGTCCATGACTATGAAAAATATGAAACAATTCAATTGAGAAAACTAAAAGCCTAATTTATAACAAAACAATTAATGAAAAAGAAATATGACAGACATGAACCAACGACAACCACTGAACTACAGGCTCCTGAATTGGGACAGGCACAAATAGAGTGTGGCGGGGTTAAACATGTTTGTGAGCGCTCAACCCTCCCCTAACTTGGGACATTGGTGTAACAAAACAACATAAGAACAAACTATAAAAACCAGTTGAAAAAGGCTTAACTCATCAGATGGATACAAAGCAGAAAAACATAAAACATAAATACAGACCAGACGTGGCAGGGTATTTTTCCATCCCTCATCCGTAACAGCAAAAAGGACACTAAGTACAGATCTGAGAGTACTCGCAGTTACTGATAGCTAGTTCAAAGCCAATAACAACTAATAAAAAAATCATGTATCTAAGACTAAAATATCAATCAGTACAATATACTGTAGTCAATTTATCAAATTCTTCAATGAATGGAGTCAACAGTTTGCATTGACTTAGATAAAAAGGTCTTTTAGATTTGAAAAGATAAAAGAAGTTCTTTGAATACATACACTTTTTTTTCCTTTCTATTATGCAATTTTGATTTATAAAGTTAAGTCACACGAACATATATAAATGATTTATTTTGATTCTTTTTTTGCATTCTACAGTTAGATAAAATGTTTTGTCCTTTATCTCTTAAAGGGGCATGAGCTACAATTTAGATTTAAAATACAATTCTTTTTGTTTCAAGTATTAATAAAAGAGGAATTGTGAAATAATATTTCATTACAAGCAGTCAGTTTGACCCAAATTTGTCAAAATTAGCTCAAAAACATCACTGATTATTGACTTGCAAGTGAATAATTCAACCTCATTGAATCCGTATTCATGTGACTTTCAAGTGAACCCCTTAGCTGGAGATGGACTACGTGCGTGTTCATCTATTAAAAGGAAAAGAATGTCATTATTGAGAGTGAAACAAGGGTGAACCATTTGGTTAACTGATCAGATCCACAAAAAATCATTCTTATACAGGTGAAAATAACCTATGATATGAAATCAAACAGACCTAGAAAAATCCAATTGCACGTGTTCACTATCTATTTATATTTATATTTATGTCTATATCGAGTTATATCACCGTCGGCAGTCTTCGGAGGTCATCTTGATGGTTATTTATTTTGATATATGTTTTAGTATGTTATAAATCAAATAGGACAATATGAGTCAAATTGCTGAACATGAATTTGACAGGTAATGCCCCTTTAAAAGATCATTAAAAATGACAGAATATTTTATCAGACTGATGTATTTACCTAACATTGACATTGATACGTGTCCACACTAAAAGGTTTTTCCACTACTCGAGACACTAAGGAAAACCCCGAAATTACCGAAAGAGATAAATGATTCACACATGCGGAATGTAAACAAACATATTTGAATGAACCATGTTATTAGTTACAAAATTTAGAACATCAATGTCAGACACTGTACTATAACATTTGTTATAAGCCTGTATATGATTCCTTGATTCTGTTAGATGACTCGTACCAACTAAAGCAAGAAATTGCAGTTAAAAAGATTTGCAGAAAACATCATTCATTTACTATGTTAATCCAATTTATTTTCAGATCTTTTTGATAACAGACCTGCTGTATGCATATTTACGAAGAGAGTTTGATTTAGAAAATGGATTTAAACATCTTATTGGAGAAGATGGAACAAAGAAACAAGTTATACTTGACTGAAGAGTTTGTGAAGATTGTTATTGAGAAACAAGTTATACTTGACTGAAGACTGTGTAAAGATAACTATATATACCCACCAATGACAGTATAATGTGATTATTTATGAAGACAATGAATATTTCAGCCATTGTCTTGCATTTTTAGCATGAAATGTTCATAATACTTGCTAACAAGTTGGAAATTTGGTAATAGTTCTTTTGAGATGGTTGCTGGAGCATTTTGATTTGTTACTTTATTAATTAATTGAGTTTAGCTATAGTCGGGAAAGACAATTGATAAAAAATTGGAGAAAATGGCACACAATGGGAAAGATGCATAAAGGCGATATAAAGTATGGTAATAAGAAAATTAGAAAATATGATATTTTATTCATTTACACCTAAAGTTTGCTGAGTAGCTTCCTTTACTGAAGTTATTATCTTAACCTTTCATATGTTTAAATTTTAACAAATATCAAATATCTAGGGACTGAAAAAACCATCTGACTTACAAATGAACCAACTTGTACTTGATTTTATATATGTCAAGACTTTTTTTTATGTATTTTTTGCTTTGAGATCTGATTTTCTAAAGAACAAAGTCTGTATTATTTCATCATTTTATATGAAAGAGATTTTTTGTTGATTTTGAGACTCATTGTCTGAGCTTGAAATTGTTTTGGCAAAGAATAAAATATGCATAATATAAGGCTTGTTTCAATTGTTTTTTAATTTCCCTGTAAAAATTATATTGATGCTTTGTCCATTCATCTATCCAAAACAAAAAGTTTCCCTTGCTTGATTAAATGAAACTTACGCAAATGCAATATATAGGGGAGGGAATAAACCTATTGATTTAGGGTTAAATAGGCTAATGTTCAAGTTTGCTGTTGTTAAAAATGATTTGGGGGGGGGGGGGGGAATTGGTTTCTAAATAACTTTGTTGATTTTATAATGAAATTTATATACCAGTATATAGATGGAAGATATAAGGAAGGGGAAGAACCCTATCAATTTAAGGTCAAAAGTCAAGGTTACAGCTACTGAAAAAAAGATTGAAATAAGGATATGAGGTGCAATTTGTTGATTCTGGTTGATAACTTGAGGTACACTTCTTTGATTTGAGTGAAACTAATCTGTAGCATGACAAGGACCATGCATCCATTAATGTGCAGTTCTAGGAGCATATGTTGAACATGCCAAATTTTCCATGAAGAAATATGCTTATTACACCTGGCTACTCGGATAACTTAGGTTGCTTCAATCTTATGAATCCAGCATGTGGTTTTCCTACTGAAGGTAAGTGGTTCTCTCCGGCTTCCTCCAACAATAATAAAATGCTCCGCTGGGGCGCATCTTGATACCACCGCAGAGGTCGAACCCTGAACAGTTGGGAAAGTATGGACACAACATTCAAGCTTGATACAGCACTGAATTTGGATTGTAATTAAATATTTGACACAGCATAGGTTTCTGACACAGAATGAATGTGGTCTAAGAACTTAATTTTTTTTAATTTACCTATTCAAACCATATCATTATTATTTGCTTTTATATATAAATCAGAAACCCCCACCCCCCTCAAATTTTTTGAACCCCCTTATGATTCATCACCCCCAAACTCAATCCCAGCCTTCCCTTTGTGGTATGGTACCTTGCAGTACAATTTCAGAGAGATCCATACACTTTAACACAAGTTATTGTCCGGAAACTAGAAAAATGCTTGTTTTTTGGCCCCTTTTTGGCCCCAAATTCCTAAACGTTTTAGGCAATTACCCCCAAACTCAAACCCAGCTTTCCCTTTCTGATATGGAACCTTGTAGTACAATTTCATAAAGATCCATACACTAACACACAAGTTATTGTTCTGAAACTAGAAAAATGCTCGTTTTTTTGCCCCTTTATGGCCCCTTATTCCTCAAATTTTGAGGGAATTACCCTCAAAATCAATCCCAGTCTTCCCTTTGTGGTATGGTACCTTGCAGTACAATTTCAGAGAGATCCATACACTTTAACACAAGTTATTGTCTGGAAACTTGAAAAATGCTTATTTTTGGCCCCTTTTAGGCCCCTTATTCCTAAACGTTTTAGGCAATTACCCCAAACTCAATTCCAGCTTTCCCTTTGTGATATGGAACCTTGTAGTACAATTTCATAAAGATCCATACACTAACACACAAGTTATTGTCATGAAACTAGAAAAATGCTTGTTTTTTGCCCCTTTTTTGCCCCTAATTCCTAAAATTTGGAGGCAATGATCCCCAAAATCAATCCCAACATTCCCTTTGTGATATGGAACCTTGTGGTACAATGTCAGAGAAATCCATACACTTACACACAAGTTAGTGTCATGAAACTAGAAAAATGCTTGTTTTTTTTTGCCCCTTTTTTGCCCCTAATCTCTAAAATTTAGAGGCAATTACCCCCAAAATCAATCCCAGCATTCCCTTTGTGATATGGAACCTTGTGGTACAATGTCAAGAGAGATCCATACACTAACACACAAGTTATGTCTGGAAGTTACAAAAATGCTTATTTTTGGCCCCTAATTCCTCAACTGTTCGTACCATAACCCCCAAAATCAATCCCCACCTTCCTTTTGTAATATTGAACCTTATGGTAAAATTTCATAGAGATCCATTCTCTTAAACTAAAGTTAGAGTGCGAAAACCAATGTGTCTTCGGATGACGACGCGGACGTCATACCAATATACGACCACAAAATTTTTTTGCGGTCGTATAAAAACTGACCACCACTAAATAGCGCAGTAGTGTTGAAAGTGACATTAAACACCAATCAATCAATCAATCTTTTGATTTCAAGGTATCCTAAAGCTACAAGGGGTTAATGAAACCTAATTTGTTCACATGTTTCACTATCAGTAGGTGAAGAACTTTGAGCTTTCTTTAAAGTAACTGTATTATGGTATTGTTTATTATTGTTGTGTTTTTATACGACCGCAAAAAAATTTTTGTGGTCGTATATTGGTATGACGTTGGCGTCGTCGTCGTCGTCGTCGTCGTCGTCCGGCGTCGTCGTCGTCGTTGTCCTGCGTCGTCCGAAGACACATTGGTTTTCGCACTCTAACTTTAGTTTAAGTGAATGGATCTCTATGAAATTTTACCACAAGGTTCAATACCACAAAAGGAAGGTTGGGATTGATTTTGGGGGTTATGGTACCAACAGTAAAGGAATTAGGGGCCAAAAAGGGGCCAAAAATAAGCATTTTTGTAACTTCCAGACATAACTTGTGTGTTAGTGTATGGATCTCTCTGACATTGTACCACAAGGTTCCATATCACAAAAGGAATGCTGGGATTGATTTTGGGGGTAATGGCCTCAAAATTTTAGGAATTAGGGGCCAAAAAAGGGGCAAAACACAAGCATTTTTCTAGTTTCATGACAATAACTTGTGTGTAAGTGTATGGATCTTTCTGAAATTGTACTACAAGGTTCCATATCATAAAGGGAAAGCTGGAATTGAGTTTTGGGGTAATAGCCGAAATATTTAGGAATTGGGGGCCTAAAAGGGGCCAAAAATAAGCATTTTTCTAGTTTCCAGACAATAACTTGTGTTCAAGTGTATGGATCTCTCTGAAATTGTACTGCAAGGTACCATACCACAAAGGGAAGGCTGGGATTGATGATGGGGGTAATTGCCTCAATATTATAGGAATAAGGGGCCAAAAAGGGGCAAAAAAACAAGCATTTTTACAGTTTCAGGACAATAACTTGTGTGTAAGTGTATGGATCTCTCTGAAATTGTACTGCAAGGTACCATACCACAAAGGGAAGGCTGGGATTGATGATGGGGGTAATTGCCTCAATATTTTAGGAATTTGGGGCCAAAAAGGGGCCAAAAAACAAGCATTTTTCTAGTTTCCAGACAATAACTTGTGTTCAAGTGTATGGATCTCTCTGAAATTGTACTGCAAGGTACCATACCACAAAGGGAGGCTGGGATTGAGTTTGGGGGTGATGAATCATAAGGGGGTTCAAAAAATTTGGGGGGGGATTTTTTTTTTTTTCATTTTTTTTCTTTTTTTCATTTTTTTAAATTTTTCTTTTAAAATTTTCCATTTTAAGTTGGTTATTTCTGATTTATATTTAAAAGCAAATAATAATGATATGGTAGGAGATACACACCAAACAGGATGTGTAAATTATTATATAATAAGTATTGTGCAATAGCAAGAAATTTTCAATTGCACAGTATTGCACAATAGCAAGAAATCTTCAATTGCACAGTATTGCGCAATAGCAAGAAATCTTCAATTGCACAGTATTGCGCAAAAGCAAGAAATATCAAATAGCACAATATTGCGCAATAGCAAGAAATTGTCAATTGTACAGTATTGCGCAATAGCAAGAAATATTTAATTGCACAGTATTGTGCAAAAGAAGATACTTTGTATAAATTGCTTATTTCTTGACCAATTTCAATGGGGTTTTATTCTTGAATTCTTGGGGTTCTTTAATATGCTGAATCTAACCGTGTATTTAGTTTTTGGATTTTGGGCCCCGTTTTTAAATTGGTCCACATTGAGGTCCAAAGGGTCCAAAATTAAACTTTGTTTGATTTCATCAAAAATTGAATTATTGGGGTTCTTTGATATGCCGAATCTAACCGTGTATTTAGATTCTTAAATTTTGGTTCCGTTTTCAAATTGGTCTGCATTAAGGTCCAAAGGGTCCAAAATTAAACTTAGTTTGATTTTAACAAAAATTGAATTCTTAGGGTTCTTTGATATGCTGAATCTAAACATGTATTTAGATTTTTGATTATGGGCCCAGTTTTCAAGTTGGTCCAAATCGGGGTCCAAAATTAAATTTGTTTGATTTCAACAAAAATTGAATATATGGGGTTCTTTGATATGCTGAATCTAACCATGTATTTAGATTTTTGATTTTTGGGTCCCGTTATCAACTTTGTCCACATTGAGGTCAAAAGGGTCCAAAATTAAACTTTGTTTGATTTCATCAAAAATTGAATTATTGGGGTTCTTTGATATGCCGAATCTAACCGTGTATTTAGATTCTTAATTTTTGGTTCGGTTTTCAAATTGGTCTACATTAAGGTCCAAAGGGTCCAAAATTAAACTTAGTTTGATTTTAACAAAAATTGAATTCTTAGGGTTCTTTGATATGCTGAATCTAAACATGTATTTAGATTTTTGATTATGGGCCCAGTTTTCAAGTTGGTCCAAATCGGGGTCCAAAATTAAACTTTGTTTGATTTCAACAAAAATTGAATATATGGGGTTCTTTGATATGCTGAATCTAACCATGTATTTAGATTTTTGATTTTTGGGCCCCGTTATCAACTTTGTCCACATTGAGGTCAAAAGGGTCCAAAATTAAACTTTGTTTGATTTCATCAAAAATTGAATTCTTGGGGTTCTTTGATATGCTGAATCTAACTATGTATTTAGATTTTGGATATTGGACCATAATAGGTGAATGTCCAATTTAAAATTTTTAAGTTCTTAGACCACATTCATTCTTTGTCAGAAACCTATGCTGTGTCAAATATTTAATCACAATCCAAATGCAAAGCTGTATCAAGCTTGAATGTTGTGTCCATACTTGCCCCAACTGTTCAGGGTTCGACCTCTGCGGTCGTATCAAGCTGCGCCCTGCGGAGCATTTTATTACCTATATTTTTGCTATTTACTATATTGGTATTGCAGAATTAAGTGATTTTCTGTGCAGATGTACCTTTTTATACACTGTTCATGGATGGGATGTTTATGGTATAATGTAGTCCCTCTATCCATTAACACTTTGTACAATAAATCATATTTTTCCTTAACCAAATCTCATGAAATTTTTACACAAATATTAGGATTGACAGAAGAAAACGACCTTTCAATTTTGAAATGTTTAGTTGTGTTGTTCTAGAGTAATGGGACTTTAATTTTCCTTTAAAATAAGCCAATGATAATACAACTGCATACCAAATATCATTGACTTTTCAGAAGTGTTTCCCTTTAAACTGACCTGATCACAAATTTTTTCAACATATTAACTATGTAAAAGTTTCAGTCAATGGACCATGACTGAAGGGGTGGGGCCAACTAATCTAATGGAAATGAGATATAATGCTTATACAACTGCATACTATTATATCATAGACTTTGCCAAAGTGGTCCCCCTTCAACTGACCTAATCACAAACCTAACATTTTAACTGGGCAAGAGTTTCAAAGTCAATAGACCATGACTAAAAGGATGGGACCAACTAATCTATTGGAAATGATATGTACCAATGCTTATACAACTGCATACCTAATATTATTGATTTACCTTTAGTGGTTCCCCATGAATTGACCAAATCACAAACTTTAACAAATTGTTGACGCAGTGGTCATGAACAGCATACTAAAGTCTCTCTTTTTGGTTGTCAAGGTGAGACAAAAACTAACAATGATGACACTTTGTTTTAAAAGATGCATAGAATAGTGATTTCTAAAACAGAAGCCAAATACTAGTATATAAAATAAATGGGGAATGTGTCCATGGGACACAGATGATGCCCCTGCTTGCATATGATATAAAGTTATAAAGGGACATAACTGAAGAACAGTAAAAGTGATGCTTCCCAAATTTGTACTTGATCTGAGTTTTGTGGTAATAAGTATTGTGTATAAGTTTCATAACATTTGGTTGAGACAAACTTAAGTTAGAGAACAGAAACGAAAAATTCAGGAATTTTTCCATTTGTAAAGAGGCATAACTCTTAGAACAGTAAACGTGACGCCACCAAAATTCAAACTTGAACTGTATTTTGTGGTAATAAGCATTGTGTATAAAAGTTTCATAACATTTGGTTCCGGTAAACTTAAGTTGGAGAACGGAAACGAAAAATTCAGCAATTTTTCCATTTATAAAGGGACACAACTCTAGAACGGTTAAAGTGACGCCACCAAAATTCAAACTGGATCTGTGTTTTGTGGTAATAAGCATTGTGTATAAGTTTCATAACATTTGGTAGAGGCAAACTAAAGTTAGAGAATGGAAACCAACTTAGGGGATGTACGGATGTACAGACGGACAAGGGTAAAACTTAATGCCCCCTCCGCTACCGGGGGCATAAAAATTGAATTTAGAATGACTATACAAAATATCAATCAACATTCATACAACTTGTCAAAGGTACAAACTCACTGAATCATTTCTAGGGTCACATCACAGCATAACTGATGATGGATGGCTGCTAAACGTCCAACGGCAAGTTAAATGCATATTAATATGAAAATTAACCTTGCTTTGTACTGGACGGACAACCGTAGCCGGATTTTTAACATGCTAGATCACAAGGTAACAGTTCGAAGGGAAGACACGTCACCCTACCTGGACACATTATTCCGACTCCAAGGTGAAAGGTCTATGTTCATACTCCTTCATGCTGCGTGCTTATAGAAAAGCAGCAAATACCAATTTTAGAGTCTTTAGTTTGACCCTGCCAGGGTTGAACTTACAACCTACCACACTTGAAGGCAAACATGGGACCACCGAGGTGGTTATATCTTCACAGCATTGCATTTGTGATATTTACTCGACGTTTCCTTTTTTTGTACTAAAGTGAAACACAGGAATGCTTCCCACATATTTTTCATTACGTTAATGATGATGAAGGAAAAAGAACTTGATAATCCTTATTTTTCATTCAGATGTATTACGATCTGAAGTTTCTGGTATTCACACTTATGCAATAGTCATCTCATAGCTCGTCTGAAAATTAATGTAACCATTAAAGAAGAAATTTCCATACTTTCTTAAAGCAGTACAAGCCATGGCCTACAACTTCTATAAACAAATAAGACAAGTCCTCTCATCTGGATAATATAAATTCTGTCCCATTTCTACCTTTTCAATTAAATTTACAACTAGTAATAACTGTTTTGACCATTTTATTTTTGACGATATTATACTTCAGAGCACTTTCAATAAATAACATTCTTCTTTAAGACATATATACATTATTTTTTTTTGGTCCTTAAGTTGCAACAATAACAAGTTATATCAATAGGAAATCTCTACCAATTGATACCTATTGGTTTAAAAGTTTAGTAGAAGCATTTTTTCTAATGTTGCCTGAAGGAATGTCTACTACATTGGATAAATTTTATCCAATTTATGTTGTGTTTCGGATATTTTTTTTTCTAATGTGGATAACAAATTTAATGCAATGTTTCCAAATTAAAGAATCTCCAATGAGCATCAACATAATATCAGTGTATCATAAAGAAAATTACAATACCACTACTAAATACAGAGAAGTAGCAGATAACACCATTATTATAAATGTCAACCTCTCACCTTGTACTTTGAAAGTTAAAAACTTTCTCTCATCTGAAAAAATATATAAGTAGAAATATTTGTATTATTTTATAAAGTGATCCTTATACCAAAATCTTAAGTAAATATCATGATTTCTAAAAATATTTCTAAATCTATGAATGAATAAATTCATCTGCCCATTCATTACTTGTAAGGAAATTTTTAATTTAAAACTTCCCCCAATATTTTTTTTGTATCCCCCCTCCATGTCTATAGACAAGAAAATTTCAATATAAATCCTCAGGAATTAATAAATATTTTCTTCAATAAAAAAATAAAGTTGCTTCATAACTAAGTGAGTTTGTTATAAACACATAGCTCAACTTTCACAGTTTTGTGTTTGTAAGAGATTTGTTATTCCAATACATTTAAAGGTCTGTATTAAAATTTAAAGTGGAAGATAAAAGACATCTACATATATGAAACATTTGTAGAATACTAAATACTATCTTGAGAACACAGGATATATACATATATTTTGTTTGTTTGTTGTAGGATATAATCATACCATCCTTAAGATACTGTTCAACCTAGATAACAATTTTAAAGCTTTAATCAAAGAAGTATTTCTTTAAAAGTTAGGTTTTTGAGAAAATGATATTCTAACTTAAATGTCTACATTTTTAAACTCATAAAATAAAGTTTTATTTTACACTTTTCACGAATACTCAATTACATATTGAGACAACAATTCAATATTATATGGTGCTCCTTAGTAATGCCTCCACAAACATCAATGATGAACAGACTTCTAAAACAGAAATGGTCATCTACAGATTGTAACAAGTCTATGAAATAGATGCGATGTATATTCTATGCTGTTGTAACAAAACTTTTTTATATCAGCTATTTTTTAACCAAAATCCAATATTACTAAAGTAGTATGTGCTGCAGGAACAACATAAGAATTTGAGTCTTCTCAATATTATATCCTCTTTCATGATTCACTATATCTTGCGAGCCAACATTTAATTACGTCTAAATTCTTTTGTTCAGAATAGTATTAAATTTTCAGACACTGCAGCACTTAAAACAGGCAGTTTGTTGGCTGACCTTCACTTCCAAGTCCCAATTTTACATAAAATGTTTTATTTTTCACATATTTATCATACAATTTCATATTTGTCTGTGTAACACATAACTTCTGATGAATATTTTACAGGCTGTTCTCCATCTATTAATCGAACATCAGATATCTGAAAAAAAGAAGAAGTTTCTTTAAGGTCTAGAAAGTCTTTATAAATGGTGCTGAGAGTTAGCCTTCTCATTAGTAAGAAGTTATATTCATGTCTGCATTAAGTATTTCCAGAAATTTCAATAATGGAGATATAGCAAAACAAGTTTTATAATATGATCAGTATTTTCTTTTCCAATAAATGTACTTTTCAGCAAATTCATGGTCAGGCAGTTCTTCTCAATATATATAATCAATTCTCAGTATTTAACAAGGCTTTGAATGGAGTACCATTGCTGTGCTTCAGATAATAATGTGACACAAAATATGACTTACCTGTAAATCACAGTAAGATTTTTTGGACATAAAGTTAACATGGACAGGGAAGAAATCATCAGGATGACCAGCTATACTGAACTCTAAGCTACCAGACTTGTTGGAAGCATCTATAACAGGTAAACTCCAAACTAACATCGACTTTCTACTGTCGTAATTATATTCCCCATCACAGTCTCCGACTACTGGAGCTCCTACACTTGTCCTGTCAGTGGAAATGTACATCATTAACAATTGAAAATAATACAAATAAAAAAAATTTAGCATGAAAAAAACTTCATTTCATTTTAATTTCCAGGCTAACAACTATTTTCCAGTGACATGAAAATAATCTTCCATTTTCCATTAATAAATGCTTTTCTTTTGGTTTATTTGTTAATACAGGACTATCATTTTTTCCAGTGACATGAAGATAATCTTCCATTTTCCATTAATAAATGCTTTTGGTTTATTTGTTAATACAGGACTACCATTGTTACTTATAATACACCAGATATTCTCTATTATAGGTATATAGTCTACCAAAATAAAGCACTGGCATGTATAAAAAAGTTCTTGTTCAGCCTTAACATAAGTAAATGTTGAACTGATTTTATACCCTCAGACAAATCCTGTATTCATTGATCTATCTATCTAAGGCTATTCAGGTAAAACACAACTTTTACATGAGAGAAGCACTTACGGTAGAGGGATATTAATTGTTACATCATTTAATTCTAGTTGTGGTTGCTCTAACCCATATTCTATATTTACATCACAGCCATTTCCTGTTTCATTTGGCCAACAGTTTACTGAAAATAAAAGCAAACATTGTCCATCCTGAAGAGAGCAAGGAAATAAATCAATTCTTGAAGAGTCATTTTGCAAATTAAATCTATTTTTAAAAGTCCTCCTCCCGCAAAAATGATTCCTTATTTCAGATTTTCTTGAATTCTATGCAAAAAAAATATAGAATTTTAATTATCAAAGAACATTTTTACATAAAAATAATTAAATTCTCTTTATCATAGGACACTTTCCTTGTGTATCTTTGCAAAAATATGGAATTCTAATTATCAAAGAACATTTCTACATAACGAATAATTAAATTCTCTATATCATAGGGCACTTTCCATGTGTATCTATGACAAATTCACAATAAACTTACTAGATAATGGCATATTAGATTCATCTTGTGTTGTATATCTCCATTTTAATACACCAACATCCTGATGCAGAGGGAAAGGTTTTTCTGGATTTTTCAGCTGAATATTGGATGTTGTATTAAATCTTTTCTTGTCCACATTGGGATGTGTCTAAAAATGTAAAACTTACATATTAAATCTTTTCTTATTCAAATTGTTTAAATTCTAATTAGATTTTCACTCTATACTTCTTTAACAAAATATTTGATTAACTATTCAGAAACCATTTTTTTGCACAAATTTTAGTTTATTCTCTTAACTATGGCCTTGACCTTGGATGTAGTTTTCATACATTAAAGTAAATTTGCAATCCCATATTAGTATTTGATTCAGCATCCAGACCACTTTTTTTTCACTTCTGAGTCTAGTAGCATATTTTTTCAAGGACAATTTTCATATGTTCCTAAATGCTTTCAACATATGACCTACCTGTAACTGTGTTCCTTTTTTATCATTATTAATCATTTGTACTTTAATGCGACCATATTGTTCATCGTTGACTTTAACCTTGACCATACCAAGAATTTCCATACTCTGTAGACCACCATCACGGCCTGCCGTTAATGACACCTTTTCTTCCATTACAATGTGTACACTATGAAAAGAGAAGATCAAAGTTCATTTAGTACATATTTATATCATTAGAAATAAAATGATAATTTTGTTTAAAGACTTCTTTTAATTTCAACCAGAACCTTAATAAAATTTTAGTTATGGTTTGATATTTTCTTTATTAAATCCATCACATCATCAGAAAGAAGTGTTTGTCTATCATAGCAACAGTTTATACTATATCACTTCTTTTTGAATATCAAAGTTAGTAGATTTAACCTGCAGTGGGGCAATCTAGTTAAGTTGTTTTATTGTCGAGCCTTCGACTTTTGACGAAAAAGCGAGACATAGCGATCCTACATACCGTCGGCGTCCACAAATATTCACTCTGTGGTTAAAGTTTTTGAAATTTTAATAACTTTTTTAAACTATCCTGGATTTCTACCAAACTTGGACAGAAGCTTGTTTAAGATCATAAGATTATATTCAAAAGTAAATTTTGTAAAAAAAAATTCCATTTTTTCCGTATTTTACTTATAAGTGGACTTAGTTTTTCTGCCAGGAAACATTACATTCACATTCACTCTGTGGTTAAAGTTTTTGAAATTTTAATAACTTTCTTAAACTATCCTGGATTTCTAACAAACTTGGAAAGAAGCTTGTTTATGATCATAAGATAGTATCAAGGAGTAAATTTTGTAAAAAATTCTGTTCCATTTTTTCCGTATTTTACTTATAAATGGACTTAGTTTTTCTGCCAGTTAACATTACATTCACTCTGTGGTTAAAGTTTTTAAAATTTTAACAACTTTCTTAAACTATCCTGGATTTGTACCACACTTGGACAGAAGCTTGTTTATGATCAAAAGCTAGTATCTAGAAGGAAATTTTGATAAAATTCTGTTCCATTTTTTCCGTATTTTACTTATAAATGGACTTACTTTTTCTTCCAGTTAACATTACATACAGTCTGCAGTTTAAGTTTTTAAAACATTTATTAGATTCATAAATTATCCTGGATTTTTACCAAACTTGGACAGAAGCTACTTACAATCAAAAGATAGTATAGAGAGGAATATTTTTATTAATTTTTTTCCTCATTTTTGTTGAGCCTGCGATTAACATCAAAAGTAGGCGAGACACTGGGTTCCGTGGAACCCTTACAAATTTTTTGGTAGTAAGACATTATTTTAATTTCAATGACCAGCAAAACATGTTTTCTTAATATTTTTTTTGCAGCTCTTGCGTGTGTGAATCATGCAAATGGAATTTGTCTACAGAATAGTTTTAAGGACGTCTTCCAGGGAAGAGTTTTAAAGCCAAATATTTTGAACTATTCTTTTGTCTCCTTTTAACATACAGAAGTTAACAAGTATGTCTCACTACTATGAAAAGAAGAGAAAACTAAAATGAATTTATTTATGAAAATTTATATCTTACCCGTCCTGATCAACAGCTGGTGTAGAAGCTTTGGCTACCGTTGATGATACTGATGTGTTTGAACTGACTACTTCTGAAAAAAAAATAAAAAAATTGTAACTCTGATAGAACAAAATAAGTACTTTTATACAGTATTCTTTAATCTCTGTTGATAGTTGATAAAATCACAAAGAACAGTAAGCTTGTATGTTTCATTGTAAATGTACTTGTAGTTTATCAACTTTCAAATACCATATATTTTTTTAAAAATCAAAATAAACAAATTTTTAAATCAAAATATTAGTATATAGAGTGCTTGCTTCGCTTAACTTTTTTTCACCAATCATTTCATATTTTACTATCCTAGTATAATACAAGAATTTGATTTAACTTGCTAATGGAGTATAATGGATTTTTAACATGTTCTCAGTGCTAACTTTCATTTCTTTACCTTACAATTTATAAATGTTAAACTAACCACATTTAATTTGGTGAATGCTGTTATTTCATTTATCTTATTCTTTGGCAATTTAACCCTTTCTGGACCCATTGTTTAATAAAATTTAATCAATGGTTGGATGCCGATGATCTCAGTAGATTATTTGCTTATTCAAAAGGTACCTTTATCAGCTCTCTAGATGAATTGAAATGTGAGAGCAGGTGTTAGAGAAATTGACTTTATGTTTGTAGAAATCAGGATGGTAAATACTCGTCAGGGATTATCAACTAGAGGCTCTAAAGAGCCTGTGTCGCTCACCTTGGTCTATGTGCATATTAAACAAAGGACACAGATGGATTCATGACAAAATTGTGTTTTGGTGATGGTGATGTGTTTGTAGATCTTACTTTACTGAACATTCTTGCTCCTTACTATTATCTCTATCTATAATGAACTTGGCCCGGTAATTACAGTGGAAAATACTTTGTAAAAATTTACAAAAATTTACAAAATTTATGAAAATTGTAAAAAATTGACTATAAAGGGCAATAACTCCTTAAGGGGTCAATTGACAATTTTGGTCATGTTGCCTTATTTGTAGATCTAACTTTGCTGTACATTATTGCTGTTTACAGTTTATCTCTATCTATAATAATATTCAAGATAATAACCAAAAGCTGCAAAATTTTCTTAAAATTACCAATTCAGGGGCAGCAACCCAACAACGTGTTGCCTGATTGGTCTGAAAATTTCAGGGCAGATAGATCTTGACCTAATGAACAATTTTATTCTCATCAGATTTGCTCTAAATGCTTTGGTTTCAGAGATATGAGCCAAAAACTGCATTTTAACCTATGTACTATTTTTTAGCCATGTCAGCCATCTTGGTTCGCGAGCAGGGTCATCGGACACATTTTTTAAACTAGATACCCTAATGATGATTGTGGATAAGTTTGGTTAAATTTGTCTTAGTAGTTTCAGAGGAGAAGATTTTTGTAAAAAATTACAAAAATTTACGAAAAATGGTTAAAAATTGACTATAAAGGGCAATAACTCCTTAAGGGGTCAACTGACCATTTTGGTCATGTTGACTTATTTGTAGATCTTACTTTGCTGAACATTATTGCTGTTTACAGTTTATCTCTATCTATAATAATATTCAAGATAATAACCAAAAACGGCAAAATTTCCTTAAAATTACCAATTCAGGGGCAGCAACCCAACAACGGGTTGTCCGATTCATCTGAAAATTTCAGGGCAGATAGATCCTGACCTGATAACCATTTTACCCCATGTCAGATTTGCTCTAAATGCTTTGGTTTCAGAGATATATGCCAAAATCTACATTTTACCCCTATGTTCTATTTTTAGCCATGGCGGCCATCTTGGTTGGTTGGCCGGGTCACCGGACACATTTTTTAAACTAGATACCCCAATGATGATTGTGGCCAAGTTTGGTCAAATTTGGCCCAGTAGTTTCAGAGGAGAAGATTTTTGTAAAAGTTTACGGACGACGGACGCAAAGTGATGAGAAAAGCTCACTTGACCTTTCAGGTCAGGTGAGCTAAAAATGAAAATTTATTTGATAGTCATTGGAGAAACATATTCTGAGACTGAGATAGTTACTTGTGTATTATCGGTTTAATCCAATCTTGATAGTACAATTATTGAATTTTATTTATCTAAATGAATAAATCCGACAATCCACTAATACCAATGTTAGAATCTATATATATTCAAATTCTGAGAAATATCTAGGTGTTTAAAAGCCAAGGACTAAATATAGGTGTACATACAATTATATTTCCTATTAATAGCATATGAATTCTAAATGCTTTATGTTTCTTTCTGACATTTCATACTTAATGCAAAAAAGAAATTAGACTTATAAAGAAGGAATTTTAGTAATGGAAACAAAAAAATCAGTAATTTTTCCATTTGTAAAGGGGCATAACTCTAGAACTGTTTAAGTGACACCACCAAAATTCCGACTTGATCTGTATTTTGTGGTATTAAGCATTGTGTACAAGATTCATAGCATTTGGTTGAGGCAAACTTAAGTTAGAGAACGGAAACGAAAAATTCAGCAATTTTTCCATTTGTAAAGGCCATACCTCTAGAACAATAAAAGTGACACCCCCAAAATTCAAAAGCTGATCTGTATTTTGTGGTAATAAGCATTGTGTATAAGTTTCATAACATTTGGTTGAGGCAAACTTAAGTTAGAGAATGGAAACCAACTTTGGGACGTACGGACGTACAGACGGACAAGGGTTAAAATTAATGTCCCCTTGGGGACATAAAAATGTCATAAGCCAATACATTTAAATACAGAGGTCCTAGAAAAATCTTATATTGCGTAAGGTGCAGACATTTATAAACTAGACGCTCACCTTGGTCTATATGCATATTCAACAAAGGACACTCTCCAACATTGTAGACGAGAATAGAATTCATGACAAAAATCTCTGTTTTGTTGATCATTTTATCTGCTCAGTTTCTCTCTATCCTCTTTAGTTTTTGCTCAAAATGCAAATGAGGGTAAAAAAATTCCTCATTTAAGGGCAATCACGCCTATAAAGAGTGACAGTTTACTTCCTTTATCGGCAAAATTTGACGTGTTAGTAGATCTTAACTTGCTGACCATTTATGTGATTTAAATGTCTATCTATTATCATCTTTAACATATCATGCCAAACGCCAAAAAAAATGGTGAAAATCATCATTAAAGGGCAATAACTCTAATAAGGAGCCGTCAGATGATTTCCTCAATATTGTCTTAATTGTAGAACTTTTCTTGCAGATCATTTTTGCATTTTAAAGTTTTTCTGTATCTATTAGTTTACAAGATAATAGGCAAAAATGAAAAAAAAAGGTAAAATTTGTCATTTAAGGGCAATAACTCCTACAAGTTGTCTGACAGTTTTGACAATTGGTAGAGCTTAACATTCTGAACATATCTGCTCCTGTAAGATTTTTTCTATTTATAACAGTTTTCAAAATAATAGAAAAAACTTGCATTTTACCCTTATGTTCTATTTCTAGCCATGTCTGCCATCTTGGTTGGCAGGCGGGGTCATCTGACACATTTTAAAACTAGATACCCCATTGATGATTGTGGCCAAGTTTGGTTAAATTTGGCCCTGTATTTTCTGAGAAGATTTTTGTAAAAGTTGACGATGATGGCCGACTGAAGCCAAGTGATGAGAAAAGGGCCAGGTGAGCAAAAATTTGAGAATGTGTCCATGGGAAATAGATGATGCCACTGCTTGCATATAACGCTATAAAGGGACATAACTCAAGAGCATTAAAAGTGACGCAACCCAAATAGGAACTTGATCTGTGGTTTGTGGTAATAAGCATTGTGTATGAGTTTCATAACATTTGTTTAAGGCAAACTAAAGTTAGAAAAGAAACTAATTTTGGGACATACGGATGGTAAAGGCTTACATTTAATGCCCCATCCAGTGAGACAATAAATATTCAGTTTACGTCTTTTCTAATCTGGTGATAAAAATGTAACTTCTAAAATGTCCTAGTTTTTTAGTGCTACTTGATGAAATAAATGGGGAATGTGTCCATGGGACACAGATCATGGACACAGATGATGTCTCCGCTGGCATATCATATAAAGTTATAAAGGGACATAACCGAAGAACGGTAAAAGTGACACTTCTCAAATTTGTACTTCATCTGAGTTTAGTGGTAATAAGTATTGTGTATAAGTTTCATAATATTTGGTTGAGGCAAACTAAAGTTAGACTGGAAACAACAATTCAGCAACTTTTCCATTTGTAAAGGGGCATAAATCTAGAACGGTTAAAGTGACGCCACCAAAATTCAAACTTGATCTGTGTTTTGAGGTAATAAGCATTGTGTATAAGTTTTATAATATTTGGTTGAGGCAAACTAAAGTTAGAGAACGGAAACCAACTTTGGGACATATAGACGGACAAGGGTAAAACTTAATGCCCCCTCCACTACGGCGGGGGTATAAAAATCTTACTTTGTCCTTCTGATTCTAACTGTCCAACAAATGTATCAACATCTTTCTTCTTACTGCCGAGCTTAAGAGCCTTGCCAGTTCCAGATGGTTTACTAAAAGAAATAAAATATGGAATTTAGAAATTTGTGTTTTTGCTAAATAACAGTATACTAATAAGCTACTACATGTAATGAATTATCAATGAAAGTCTCTACTTCCATAATTAAATGTATAGGGGTGGGGGTTGGAAGGCACTAACCATCAAAATTAGATGGTGGTTATTTTAGAAAGATAGCATGAACAATAATAGGAAACAGTGCATTAAAATTTTATGCATGGCGGTGAAATAAAAAGTTCCTTCCGAGACCACATTCCTATACATTTATTTCTGGAACAGCCCTTTATATCATAAATAGCAAATATAAACTAAAAACATTGCATTTCCATTTCACTTGGGTATTTGTAAAATCAAATACTTGAAATATTTTAGCTCTGACAGATGAAACTAGAGGATCTAAAGAGCCTGTGTCACTCACATGCATCTTCAACAATTGCCACTTTTTTGTAAAAATCATCATTAAAGGGAATAACAGTATTGAAAGTTAACTGAAAACTTCAACCATGTTGACATATTTGTAGATCTTATCCTGCTGACCATTTTTCTTTTTTAAAGTTTCTATTTATATATTATAGTTTTCCAGATAATAGGCAAAAAAAAAGCCCCAAAAAAAAAAATGTAAAAAAATTTCATTAAAGGGCAAAAACTCCAATAAAGAGTCCACTGAAGGTTTCAACCATGTAGGATATTTGTAGATCTTGTCTTACTGATCATTTTTGCTATCTAAAATTTCTATCCATCTATTATAGTTTTCAAGATAAAAAGCAAAAACGCAAAAAATTGGGAAACATCGTCATTAAAGGGCAATAACTTCAATAAGGTGTCGACTAACAATTTCTACCATGTTGACTTATTTGTAGATCTTGTCTTGCTGATCATTTTTATTAAGTTTCTTTCTATCTATTATAATTTTGAAGTTAATGAGCAAAATGAAAACAATTGGTAAAATTCATCGTTTAAAGGCAATAACTCTTATAAAAAATTGTCTGGCAGTTTTTGTGTCAATACACATTAGGTAGATCTCATCATTTCAAACATTTTAGCTCCCGAAAAATTCCGCAATGGTGATTATGGCTAAGTTTGGTTCCAATTGGCCCAGTAGTTTCAGAGAAGATTTTTGTTCAAAAGTTTACGGACGACAACGCGGGACGCCAAGTGATGAGAAAAGCTAACTTGGCCCTGTGGGCCAGGTGAGCCTAAAAATAATTTAAAAAGTTGACTTGAATAAATCCCAATAAAAAGTAAAGATTGAAAAGAGGTAAATGTCAATGAGTTGGTGATCTAAGAGGTTAACAAAAACTGACATCTACAGACCACAAATCTGTCTTCAAAAACTAAACAGAAACCACAGTGAATGAAAACTTCAATGAATGATTTAGTAATCTAAAAATTTGTAAAAACTGTGTAATTATTTATTTATAGTGGTTGATGAATAAAATTGCTATTTCAGGACTTCATCATTTGCTCCTATCAAACTTACTAAAAATTTGTTTTCAAGAATAGAAATTTGTGGCTTTCCCTTACAAACCAAAACCAGGAAAATTGATATTCCGTGAATATGTGGTACATATATCCGATCCATATTGTTATGAATTACCTAGGTACAGATGTGTATGAAGGTTTTGTTTCTGCTGAAGGTGTAGGCTCAATAATGTCTCTTGATGATGATGATGAATATGAAGAACTACCAAATCCTCCGGCATAACCAATTCCTTTCCCTGATCTACCAGCTTCTTTTCTCTCTTGCTGTAATTCTTTGGCTCTTTTCTTCATTGCTTCTTTAGCCTCTCTTTCTTGTGTCTAAAATTATACAGCGTATTACAGTTAAAAGTAATACTGAATATTTAACTCTATTTCAAATGTGAATTGAAATATTTAATAGTGATGAGACATGCTGATTATTTTCCAAAGTAGGAATTTTGTGGATGTACAAATGTACATGATACAAAATCCAATGAAATATTTGAAACTAGCTAAATATAAGATCTAACAAAATATATTTTTTTATACTTTGGACAAACAAGACCAATACTATGTCTGAACACGGTCGCTGCATGCAATTGATTGAAGTATCATGTATACTGAAGTATAACTGATCATTTCCAACATTCACAGAAGACAAGAAAACTTTGATGAAAATTTTACTTGTACAATGTGTGTTGTAAATTGCAAACTATTAGCAAACATGAAGTGGCTGCACTGCAAATTAACTGCTTCGCCGATCGCAGCTGGATACCACCGCAGAGGTCCAACCCTGAACAGTTGGGGCAAAAATGGACACAATATTCAAGCCTGATACAGGTCTGAATTTGGATTGTAATTAAATATTTGACACATTATAGGTTTCTGACACAGAATTAATGTAGTCAAAGAACTTGAAATTGGTTGTATGATTTGAATTTATATTCAATTGAAGATTTATTGCTGTTGTGCAATACACTGTGCTGTTGCCCAATACATAGTAAATCTGTTTTTAGACTATATACAAAGAATTAGCAAAATAAATTGTGACCCCCAATTAAAAACTTTTCTTTGGAAAATTGACAATTTCTTAAATCTTGGGGAAAAAAATTTGACCCCCCCCCTTTCAAAAAAAATAATATTTGAAGAGAATTTTCTTGAGGAAAAAAAAATTGCCCCCCCCCCCCCCCTTTTCCAAAAAAATTAATTTTGAAGAAATTTTCTTTATGTAAAAATGTGCTACAAATTAAGAGACATCCATACACTTAAACACAGGTTATTGTCTGAAAACTAGAAAAATGCTTGTTTTAGACCCTTATTGGTCCCTAATTCCTGAACGGTTTGGGCAATTACCCCCAATATGAATCCCAACCTTCTACTTGTGGTATTGAACCTTGTGGTACAATTTCAGAGCAATCAAAATACTTATACACAAGTTATTGTCCTGGAACTAGAAAAATGCTTGTTTTGGCACCTTATTCCTAAACGGTTGGGACCATCACCTCCAAAAACAATCCCAACCTTCCTTTTGTGGTATTGAACCTTTTGGTTAATTTCATAGAGATCCATACACTTAAACTAAAGTTATTGTCCGGAAACTAAATGTCTTCGGACGATGCTGACGCCGACGTGATACCAATATACATGCGGTCATATAAAATAAAATGCTTCGCTGGGGCGCAGCTTGATACGACCGCAGAGGTCGAACCCTGAACAGTTGGGGCAAGTATGGACACAAAATTCAAGCTTGATACAGCTATGACTTTGGATTGTCATTAAATATTTGACACAGCATAGGTTTCTGACACAGGATGAATGTGGTGTAAGAACTGGAAAAAATTTAATTTACCTATTATGGTGGAATATCCATAAACTAAATTGTTTGTTAATTTCAATATATCAAAGAATATGTAGAATTCAATGTTTGATGTAATGTAATAAAGTTGAAATTTGGACCGTTTTTGTTCAATGTGGACCAATTTGGTAACATGTATAAATAATCAAAAATCTAAATACATGGGAGCCCATTTAAATACATCATAAAGGTTTTAAAATAGAAAGTGACATCATAGTCATGGCTAAAAATAAACAAAAATCCTTAATCAGCAACATTTAAAGTAATATCTAAAAATAAAATTCCTTTGTAACCATAAAAGCCCATTTAAATACATCATAACAGATATTAAAATAGATAAAATGCTCCGCTGGGGCGCAGCTTGATACGACCGCAGAGGTCAAACCCTGAACAGTTGGGGCAAGTATGGACACAACATTCAAGCTTGATACAGCACTGAATTTGGATTGTAATTAAATATTTGACACAGCATAGGTTTCTGACACAGAATGAAAGTGGTCTAAGAACTTATAATTTTTTAATTTACCTATTCATACATGTGATGGACTGTGAAACTCAGATCAGGAGATTGGAAAATTTTGGTCAGGAGATTAGGACTCAGATCAGGAGGTTTTTAATCGACATAAATTTTGTCGTAAATGTAACCGTGTGCTGTAAAAATGGTCTTTTAAAGTGTGTTTTCTTCAACTTTCCATCCAATTTATTATGTTTATAGTACCCTTGTACTTATAAAGTTTCTCCATCTTTATATTTTACATGTTCAATCTAACATTTTTTTTTTTTCAGTATGTTCTTTAAATTTTTTACTTCATATTCTATAAAACATTTATTGCAACCAGAACATTTGTTTAACTATCTGCAAATAGCTTTTGTTTTTTTTTTTTTTTATCTTTATTAGTAGCTTTTGTTTGCATACTCAGAAAATCATTCTAACTGTTAAACAAGGGTCATAGTTATTATATAAATTTCAATTTAAGCCTTGAAAGGAAGTATAGAATCCTCAAATAATTTTCAAATTATTATTTTTTTATTTGTCCTAAGACATTTAAAATCATTTATTTACCATCCTTTTATGATTATTTGTTCAATTTATATTTTATTTATATTCTTTTAAAAATTTTCATTATTAAAAGGAAAGTAACTTAAAACAGGATAAATCAAGGGAAGTAACCCAATAAATACACAGTTTTTGTTACACAACGGCAGTTAGCCTGAGGTAAAAAATCATTGATTACCAGTATGTTTGACACCCAAGCTGACAAGTGAAGCCATATAATTATGCATATTAATTGATTTACAGGTAAAATATAACTTCAGGTAATGTGAGTTACACCAGATGCCTGAGATGATATGTTGGGCAGAAATTTTTCATTCATGAAAAATTTCATACATGGGATTATAATTTTCCTCTTCAACCGGAGGTCGGGAGGAGACTCCTGAAAACAGGATTATTGTACTCCTGTCGGGAGGTTCACATGTATGCTATTCAAACCATATCATTATTATTTGCTTTTATATATAAATCAGAAATAACCAATTTAAAATGGAAAATTTTAAAGAAAAAAAAGGAAAAAAAAATCCCCCCCCCCCAAATTTTTTGAACCCCCTTATGATTCATCGCCCCCACACTCAATCCCAGCTTTCCCTTTGTGGTATGGTACCTTGCAGTACAATTTTAGAGAGATCCATTCACTTGAACACAATTTATTGTCTGGAAACTAGAAAAATGCTTGTTTTTTTGTCCCTTTTTGGCCCCTAATTCCTAAACGTTTAGGGCAATTACCCCCAAACTCCAACCCAGCTTTCCCTTTGTGATATGGAACCTTGCAGTACAATTTCATAAAGATCCATACACTTACAAACAAGTTATTGTCCTGAAACTAGAAAAATGCCTGTTTTTTGCCCCTTTTTGGCCCCTAATTCCCAAAATTTGGAGGAAATTACCCCCAAAAATCAATCCCAGTATTCCCTTTGTGATATGGAACCTTGTGATACAATGTCAGAGAAATCCATACACTTACACACAAGTTATTGTCATGAAACTAGAAAAATGCTTGTTTTTTGCCCCTTTTTGGCCCCTTATTCCTAAAATTTGGAGGCAATTACCCCCAAAATCAATCCCAGCATTCCCTTTGTGATATGGAACCTTGTGGTACAATGTCAGAGAGATCCATATACTTACACACAAGTTATGTCTGGAAGTAAAAAAAATGCTTATTTTTGGCCCCTTTTTCCTTAACTGTTAGTACCATAACCCCCAAAATCAATCCCCACCTTCCTTTTGTGGTATTGAACCTTATGGTAAAATTTCATTGAGATCCATTCACTTAAACTAAAGTTAAGAGTGCGAAAACTAATGTGTATTCGGACGACGACGACGCCAACGTCATACCAATATACGACCACAAAAATTTTTTTGCGGTCGTATATAAATGACATCATAGTCATGGCTAAACATAGCAAAAACCTTAATCAGCATCATTTAACAGTAATATCTAAAAATTCGTAAGGGTTCCGCGGAACCCAGTGTCTCGCCTACTTTTGCTGTTAATCACAGGCTCAACAAAAATGAGAAAAAAAATTAATAAAAATATTCCTCTCTATACTATCTTTTGATTGTAAGTAGCTTCTGTCCAAGTTTGATAAAAATCCAGGATAGTTTATGAATCTAATAAATGTTTTAAAAACTTAAACTGCAGACTGTATGTAATGTTAACTGGAAGAAAAACTAAGTCCATTTATAAGTAAAATACGGAAAAAATGGAACAAAATTTCCATGTAGATACTAGCTTTTAATCATAAACAAGCTTCTGTCCAAGTTTGGTACAAATCCAGGAGAGTTTAAGAAAGTTGTTAAAATTTTAAAAACTTTAACCACAGAGTGAATGTAATGTTAACTGGCAGAAAAACTAAGTCCATTTATAAGTAAAATACGGAAAAAAAAGAATTTTTATTATACAAAATTTCCTTCTGGATACTATCTTATGATCATAAACAAGCTTCTTTCCAAGTTTGGTAGAAATCCAGGATAGTTTAAGAAAGTTATTAAAATTTCAAAAACTTTAACCACAGAGTGTTTCCTGGCAGAAAAACTAAGTCCATTTATAAGTAAAATACGGAAAAAATGGAATTTTTTTTTTACAAAATTTACTTCTGGATACTATCTTATGATCATAAACCAGCTTCTTTCCAAGTTTGGTAGAAATCCAGGATAGTTTAAGAAAGTTATCAAAATTTCAAAAACTTTAACCACAGAGTGAATGTAATGTTTCCTGTCAGAAAAACTAAGTCCATTTATAAGTAAAATACGGAAAAAATGGAATTTATTTTTTACAAAATTTACTTTTGAATATTATCTTATGATCATAAACAAGCTTCTGTCTAAGTTTGGTACAAATCCAGGATAGTTTAAGAAAGTTATTAAAATTTCAAAAACTTTAACCACAGAGTGAATGTAATGTTTCCTGGCAGAAAAACTAAGTCCATTTATAAGTAAAATACGGAAAAAATGGAATTTTTTTTTTACAAAATTTACTTTTGAATATCATCTTATGATCATAAACAAGCTTCTGTCCAAGTTTGGTAGAAATCCAGAATAGTTTAAGAAAGTTATTAAAATTTCAAAAACTTTAACCACAGAGTGAATATTTGTGGACGCCGCCGACGCCGACGGAATGTAGGATCGCTATGTCTCGCTTTTTCGACAAAAGTCGAAGGCTCGACAAAAATAAAAATTTCTTTGCAACCATAAAAGTAAAATAGAAAATGACATCATAATCATAGCTAAAAATAAACAAAATTTTTTTTTATTGGCAAATTTTAAATGGAGTTTATTATACTAAAACAATAACTTTGCAACCATAAACATGATAAAACCCCATTTAAACACATCATAAAAGTATTAAATAATTCAACTACATCATAAGGCTATAAAAATAGAAAATGACTTCATAGTCAAGGCTAAAGGTAAACAAAAAACCTTCATCAGCAAAATTTTATATTGGCAAATTTAACATGAACTCGACTATGCAGGAATCCATTTCGAAATTTCTGACATGACTGTTTCTCTCTTTTTATCACTTTATAAAAGATTTTACCACAATATTTCCAGAACTTATGTTTTTTTTTATATTTAGTTTTAAAAGAGAGGTGAAAGATACTAAAGGGACATTCAAACTCATAAGTCAAAATAAACTGACAACGCCATGGCTAAAAAAGAAACAGACAAACAGACACAACAACAGTACACAAAACACAACATAGAAAACTAAACAGAGCAACACGAACCCCACCAAAAACTGGGGGTGATCACAGGTGCTCCGGAAGGATATGCAAATTAACCATGTCCTGGGTTTTATCATGCCTTAAGATTCTATATTTCTACATGAAGTTAGGAGTGTTAAACCATTTACGTATCTTTCAATAACTTTAATGATTATTACCTCTCGAACAGATATTGCAACTTTTTCTTCATGTGAATCCATCTCAGTGAATGTTCTGATTTGAGCAAGATTTACATTTTCTCTATAACCTAGAGCAACAATTTCATCAAATGCAAATATGAGAGAAAATGCCTGATCTCCAATCTCTGCCTCCTCCATATTTCTGCAGTATTCTGGTATCTAACAAATAAAGAAAAATAATAAAAAAAAGAGAACATGCCTTTGTAATTTTTCAAGTTTTTCTGCCTTTGAGTAAAAATTTTCATTAAATGTGTATTTACTACTATAATAAATATTTGAGATAATCAAACAAAAAACAGTTTCTATTAAGAAGTGTAAACCAAATTAATGCTATTGTAAATACCTTACTTTTTAATGGACAATATCAAGTGTTGAAATTTTTGCTAGTTATGAATAAATAATGTTATGCTCTTTTCAGTTGTCATGAAAAGGCTTCTTAAAATAATAAGGTGTAATGCCTGCAAATTTATCATATGAAAAGCATTATCCCAACCCCTCACTTCTTGTTTGGATGCAAGGGAGAAATCATGCTTATTACAAGAAGCTTGTCATAATTATGTTACTTTTAAGACCAAAGTTTTTAAACTTACCACACGAGCAAACAGACGCAATGTTTCCAGATCTTCCAGTATGTTACTAGCTTTTGTTGTTATTAATAGAACATAAAGTTTTTCTAGAGGCTGATACACATATCTGACACTTTCTGTTTCAACAAAAGTATGTTGTTTTCCTGAACTCATCAACTTAGGAAAAGCTGCCAGCAAGCCTTCTATTCTTGACCTGGTCATTTCCACAAATTGACGGGAAATTAATGCTGAAAAAGTGTAATAATTAATAATTGAATGCCTCTTTTTGTAATTTCATTGGGGTGTAAAAGTGTTGACTGAAGCACATTTTGTACAAAACGCAGAAACGTTCAATTCTTATAATAACATTTTTATGCTACAACTATGAAATGAAAAGTGAAATCAATTTAATTATAGAATTGCATGAAACTTCCATGTAATGTTATTATATATATAGTTGATCAATAAGATTAAAAATTATAATGATATTATGATAGTAAAATTCAATTAAAATAAGTATTTAATTTCTCAATGTAGCTTCTTGTAAAGTATACAGATAAACATTATTTTGAGGTGATTTATACATTGCTCTATCAACTAAAAAGAGAATTATAAATATAAACTAACCTTTCCCTGACTTGTTACATACAGCTGCAGCAAGCAGCACCTAGAAAAAAAGAATAAAATTAAATCTCCTTAAAATCTAAATGTCACATGAATGTACATGATTAATGTTCAAATTGGTCATTGTTTTCAATTTTTATTATGATTGGGGTATCATTTAAAATCTTAATAATGAATAAATTAATCTATGAAAAAAAGTAAAAATAAAAAAATTACCAAACTCCAAGGAAAATTCAAAAATGGAAAGTCCTTCATCAATTGGTAAAATCAAAAGCTCAAACCAATGGAAAACAACTGTGATATTTTTGACTTGATACAGGCATTTCCTTATGTAAATAAATGGGAAATGTGTCCATGGGACACAGATGATGCCCCCACTTGCATATAACATTATAAAGGGATATAAATTAAGAACAGTAAAAGTGACGCTACTCAAATTCGTACTTGATCTGAGTTTTGTGGTAATAAGCATTGTGTATAAGTTTCATAATATTTGGTTGAGGCAAACTAAAGTTAGAGAACGGAAACCAATTTTGGGACGTACAGACTGACAAGGGTAAAACTTAATGCCCCCTCGGCTACAGTAGGGGCATAAAAATGGTGGTTAAAGCTGGTTTTATATCTAGTTAAACCTCACTTGTATGACAGTCACATACAATTCCATTATATTGACAACAATGTGTGAGCAAAGCAAACAGACATAATAGGTAATAAAGAGGCTCGCCATGAGCCTGTCACGTTTCACAATAAAGTTCCATAACTATTTAATGTCATATCAGAAATTTATAAAAAACTAAACAGAGTTTATTTTAATAGATATAAACTGATCACCAAAGTTTCATGAAAACTGCTCAAAAGCATGTTTCAGTAATTGTCCGAAAACTGGAAATCCCCCGTTTACATGAATAAAATCCCATAAACGTAAATTCTAAAATTTATATAAATCGAAACTTTTGGCCTTAAGGCTTAAGGGGCCCCTAGAAGCTCTGTAGTAAATTGTGCAAAATCCTACATTCTGGCAATCTCCTGGCAGCAAAAATTGTTTATTTGGAAATCATGATTTTATATAGAAAAGTTTTGAAATTAAAAAAAAAAAAAACATGAAATTTCACCATTTTTTTTTCTTGGTCTGATCTTTAACCCTCAACTGTAAATTGTTTGTTTTTCATAATGGCATTTAATCATTGAGTCCTTCATTCCCTGTCATATTCAAATTGTACCAAACCAGAGTTGCAGACATTTAATTAGAAGAAAAAAAAACATTCAAAATTCCTTTTAGATAGATCGTAACTTTGGTAATATTTTGTTCTGTCTTGTTCGTCTTTCCTTTTAAGCGGTGCGGGGTTGGTAAAATTTTTCAGTCAAGACTTTTCGCCGATTGGATTTTATAATTGAAGTATAATAATCGCAAAGTCAGAAGAAACGGTGTATAAATTTCTGTACAAGAAAAACAATAACGACAGAGAAATTATCATCTTCACTGATTTATTTACCTCCTATATTGGAGGTAAAAAACACATACAGTATAGGAAAACACATGTTGGTTTGTTTATGTTTTACAAAGAGGGATATCAACATAAATTTCTGCAGTGCTGGTAAGAATTATTATTTCCATTTGTATTAATGATTAATAAAATGTTCTTTCATTCAAATATTAATGAAAATAGATTAATAGAAAATGTAAACAAAGCGACACATGATTTCTATTAAGAGTTATCTGTTCCTGATTTTAATGACCAGGGCTCACACTACTTCAGAATCATAGGGAGAAGTGACTTCTCTTTTTGAAACTGATAGGGAGAAGTGGTGAGATTCGAAAGAGAAGTGCTCCTTCGCATGCTGCGCTACAATGTTTTGATTTTACTATAGTATAAAGGGTCATATGTAAATAATGTTCTTTTTATATTGTTCAATTCATATCTGAGTATACAATTAAATTAACAGTTCAAATTCAAAGTTGTTTAAGTTTAGGTTCTTGTGAGAAACTACCAACTAAATATCTAGCACTAAAAAGAATTTTTTTTATGTCAAAAAGGTAAAGAAATTATAATATATGAATTACAATTCAATTAAAAACTATCTTGTTTATCATGTTTATTAAATTCAGTGTTTCTCATCAAAAGATATACAAAGTTAAGCTGGCCGGGCCATAATATATTGATATTAGTAGTTAAGCAACTTTAATCAATATTTTGAAACAATCCATATAAATTATATGGAATTATATACATTAATCAATTAGATCTAACCAAAAGTCTGTTAATGCGTGTGGAATGCGTAATTTTTCCTTTTGGGATCAATATTCTTCTGTCAGCTGTTCCATTCATGCGTCCGTAGTTATTATTGTAAAAATACGGATTTCAGTCATAGCTGGTCCGGTTCCGATCCATAGTTAGTAAATGGTTAATGGCGGACGAAGAAAAGTTACAAAAATACACGATGTTTGACAAGCTATTTGGAAAGGAATATGACGTTTTTAATGCAATAAATGGATTAAACATTTACTGGAGGCAACTTTTATCACTTTCAAATGAAGTAACAAACTTATTTTGCCACCGAAAAATAGATTGATGTACGCTCTCTGAGTGACAAGTACCGGAAGTGCATGCAGTGATAAAAGTTGTCTTTTTATTAAATAACCTGCTACACACTGTAAAGTCAATGCTTAAACCTCTTTTCTTAAGAAAATGAATCGTTTATGTCTGAATTTCTTTAATAACCAATAAAAAATTGATGTTTTATCAACTTGGTAAAAATTGAAAATGTCCGATGACGAAAGCGACTGAAAGCGAGTATCGTAAACAACAGGGCGACTTGTTTTCGCTTTTGAGGGACGGGCAAAGCGAAGTGACGGACGGGAAAGTGACTTCTTCGCCCTAGACGCCTGGTAGCGTGAGCCCTGATGATGTCACAAGAAGATTAGGAATGGCTGAACAAAATAGGTAGAGACGTTACAAAAGGATTAAATTAAATAATATAACAGTGTCAAGAAAATGAATATTCAAACATAAATACATGAACTATTTACGTTAATAAGCTACGCACTGGCAATAAACAATGAATTTTTGGATATGAGTGCGACCTGAACCTGTCTCTCAAATCCGCAAATTTTAGAATAAGAAAAATCCATAGCTCTATGGTCCGCAAATTTTCAAAAAATATCATAAGGACCTTTGAGCTACGGTTCAGCAGCTAGGAACATACATTGCATGCAAATTTGTATCTGATGAGCATAAGATATCCCACATATTTGTATATCTGATCTGATATAGTTTTTACTGCAGCTTTTGAAAAGTGCAGGGTAATTTTTTTCTCAGAAGGCACTCTAAGTGCGATTGGCTACACTTTAAGGGCACCCTTTGAGAGGAGGACTACACTTATAGGGCACTCTTTACATAGAAATAAAGGCACTGTAATGGATAGGGATTTAATCGAATATACCATTTGGATCTCGCATGTTTATACATGTACCAATCAAAGCTACCTTGGCTCATAACTGTACAAATAATTTTAGAATATTCAAAGATTTGTATAGCAAGACTTACTATACATATTCTTCTGCTTTTCATCTTTTTTCCATCTGTGTTTTATTGTGCATGGTTTTTTTTATTGAAACATTAATGATTTTTCGTACTATTCAAAACTATATCAGCTATATTCTTGACTTTAATTTGATTAAGATAACAATAGTATGAAAGCTGTCGTAAATTCACACCCAATCCGACATCTCGACAGACTGAGTAGTATAAATAGAAAATATAAACAAACATCATATTGTTTACGTAACCAGTGGTAATGTTCATCCTTTGCATCGTAAAATTATAACTCAAATGATCACCTGGTTCCCTTTTAAATTGTCTACATTTTAAATTCGTAGTGGTACAAATCGATATTGTCCCTGTGAGATTCAATCCTGAATCGTATTTGTACTCTGTCGCTTCAAAACTGTTCAAACATAATCGAAATTCAATAAAATGTCGGCCATTAAAATTTTGATTACGTTCCAAGGGAAATAACTCGAAATGGTCTTGCTAAAAGATGAATTGCATAACCGATATTAAATAACGGCAGGGCGTTCTGAAAAGGGGCATGGCGCCAATTTTTTCCCTAACAAGGGCAGGGCGCCATACCACGTCAAAACCTCCTACAGGAAACACTATGATACACATTATAAACAAAAAAAACATGATGCTCATCAGGTAGCTCCAATCTCATATCATAAAGTGATCAAACACTGATGAATACAAGTTGGTACCTGTAGAGTTGAGAAAGGTATGAATACTTGTGCACCCTTTTGTATACTGATGTCTTTTTCTTGTTAATAATTTAAGTTGTCCTTCAATTTGTAACTTTTTTGTTGCCCAAGTATTTTTAATATGTTTACGGATCTGTGCTCATTCCATATTTAAGTGATAGAACAAAATTATAGATTTATTTGGTGTATTCGGTACCTTTACAGTATATTTGACGTTTGATAAATGTTTGCGTGGAGAAAATTATGAAGGATGCCGGCAAGTGGTTTCGAGTTTGATTAAGCACAAGCGAGAAAACTATTCTTTGTCGAGAGCAAAAAGAATGGATGACAATGTTACTGATACATAGTGAATGTCCTACCATGTTGAAAGAATGTTGTTTTCAATACTAGTGTTGATAAATATTGAAGAAATAAACGTATCTGCTGACTGTTTTTCGGCCACGTCAATTTCAATTTGTAACCTTGCGCTTTAGTAAAAAAACTGTACTTTCAGAACTAATGATAATGGATATACTTTTGAAATAATTTCTATGTTTGAAATCTTACAACTTAAAATTTTAGTTTATTAAGCACGAAAATTATTGTGGCATTAGGTGGAAAATAGAGAACTATATTTTTAAAGGAAAATTGCCGGATTCATATGCGCAGGAATAGCTTAATACAAATAAAAATTCTTGGAGATCATAAACCACAACGGATCAATAAGACCGCTTGTTAAATTATTTCAGTCCTATAAGTTCGACCAAATTCTGATAAAACAGTTAAAACTGTACTTATTTTATTTGCACCTGTATGGATCATTGATTGTATTGTAAATTTACATTTGGGGTCTTCTTGTTACTCATTTTTTGTATGGTAATTACTCAAATTAAGTATCATTATTTTCGCATTTTCAAATTAATTTTTAAAGAATTGAATTAAATTACGGTCTATATAACCTTAATAAATGTTGAATTATACAATGATTTTAAATTATATGCAATAAAAGATCAAATAAAGACGTATTTAGCCAATTTTAAATCACCATAGAAAATCCTAGAAATGTTCCGAAAAAACACCGGAAGTTATATTGAAACATGAAAACAGCTGCAGACAAAGACATTTTTGACGTTAATTTAAGTAAATATATACCTCTAATGGACATGGTATTAAAGTAAAATCTTCCTGTTGCGTATTTCAAATTTTGTCCTAGACCGAGAACTTTCATTGCTTTTGAACTGTGGAAGTTTAACTTAGAACTGTTGTGGATTGGTCAATCTCATTTTAACATTTCAAAACATTAATAAATTAAGGTTCATGTGGACCCTATGGCTAAAATGGCTGCATTTTCACCTCAAAATTTACTCTAAGTACAGACAAACCTGCGTAGCTGGAAAAATGTTTAAGCGAAGCATGCCCTAGATAAATAAACTTCTAATGCATTGTATGTTTTAGAAAATTTAAAACTTGACTGGATTTTGCAGTGCACTTTTTTTCGTCCCTGCAGAAGATGATAAAACAAACAAACAGTCGAGTTTAACTTGATATGGTCCACTCAGGTACACAGTTTAAATCACCAATTATTGTCAGGTACAAATGTATCTATTGTCCATGTCAATCAATACAGTTCACTTCAATTATTACCTGTGGGGAAGTTCTCAAACCTCTTTCCCAACTTATTTTATTTTGGCACCTTCTGGAGGAATGAAAAAAAGTGCACTGCAAAATCCCGTAAATATATTTGAATTTTATTTATCTAGGGCATGCTATGCCTTATAACTTTTTCAGATGCACAGGTTTGTCTGTACTCAGAGTAAATGTTGAGGTAAAAATGCAGCCATTTAAACGAAGGGTCCACATGAACCTTAACTATATTGTTAGACATCAATACTCTAAGGTTTCAGACTTTCAATTCTCCAAAGTCGCAAATCTTACTCTGACAAAAAAAAAATCATCATGGGTTAATTGTAAGGGTCATGTCATCATTACACAATGGAAACAAGACGTTTCGGCCATGGATCAAGTTTACCTTTGGCCTTGTACCACTTAGACCAGGGAATAAAAGTCGTTTCGGTCATACTTTTATTTTACATTAAAAGAGATTTTGTTGTTAATACTTCATTTCTATACCTTTTATAACCTTAAAAATAACTTTTATTAATGATATTATATTAAAAAAAAATGTACATCTTTTTACTCTAATAGTCCTTATTGTAAGTAGTACATGTATTTGAAAGTTAATTGCAGATAATATAAATATACCATCATTTTTCATAATTGCTATGATAGTAACCATGATAAGTCTTCTTCTTCTTTCAGTAACTTCCTCCTGTGGTTAGGAGCACATCAATTTCTTGATTATACACAATGGGCTTATATTACACGGACTTATACAGCTAAAATCACTTTGTTATTTCCCAGTATAAAACGCAATTGCATATATTAAAATACGATGGGCTTATTTTACACGGACGATATTAAAAGTTATTCATTTTGATACTTCGTTAAAAATAGTCTAAAATCTAAAATGACACTGATTCACTTTATGACATTAGTAAAACCGTGGTCTGACACTATTAAATATGTCTCTATATTCTAAAAGGCATCAGCTACCACTTTGATACAGCAATTGTCTGTATATTACGTATATTATTGTTAATATCAACGTATTCCCAAGTACATATATATCTCAACTGTCCTCCATGTACTTCTCACTTCTAACTGTTCTTTATGTACGCCACTATTTTGTGCTCTGAAAAGGATCGAAAGAAAGCTCGATTCCATGTTATTATTAATGGATGTTTATATTATGATAGAGCATTAATCTGACTTAACCTCTGTTGATGTAATTTATCACACAGATTCTTAGAAATTGTTTCAACCATATTTAAAAAATTGTTGTCGTTTGGAAGTATAGAACCCGCTAGTTTTCTGCAGTCAACAATTAATTGGCTTAATGTTTCCCTATTTTGAAAATTTGTTTTCCACTGATCAATCCCAATTTTATTTATAACAGCCTGTTTTAATGGGGCATAAAAAGTCCTACGGACCCCTTCCAGAGATGGACATCTAGTTAGGAAATGTAGAAGGTTTTCTTCCTCGAGTTTGCAAAGGGGGCAAATTGGGTCTGCACTTCCTATATTAAATTTAGCTTTGGTTGCTTGTAAAAGGTAGGTCCCAGTTAGTATTCTAGCTTTTGTTATGGCTTTCTTTGTATCCCCCGGAATTTCTGTTGCTGTTTTCCAAACTGGATGTATTTCTCCTATATTGATAATGTCAGTACAGAGCCTAATCAGGGTTGATTTTTCTCTACTCAAAGACCTAAATTTATTACTCCAAAATGTATTAATAGCATGTCTAGCGGATTGTTTCCATTTAATTTTTGTTGGAAGAAATATTAGAAGCTCATCAATGCTTGGTAGGCTATATTGAAGCAGGACATTTTCTGTTCTGTGTAGAAAAGTTCCATTGCAAATTTCTAACCGGTACTGACGCAACAAGATATCCCTAAGATTTTGATTTTCAGACGCTAGGATTGAATGCAGAAGGCTTAATTGTCTTTTGTGGAGCTCGGCCTCTATAGGGAGGGCACCCAGTAGTGAGAATACTGCAGCAGAAGCTGTTCTTGTTGGAAGAGCCTGAATATTTTTTAAGAAGGATAAATGGAAGTCACCCTGGTCGTTGATTTGGCTGTTCGTAAGAGGTAAAACTTCTAGACTGTAGAGCAGACGGGGTAATTTGTAGATTCTATAAATACTATAGGAAATCCTTGGATTCAAGCCATTTGTGCCATGTACACCTGTTGACATAAGTGAATAAGTTGTTCTTCGGGCTAAACTAATGCGGTCTTTCACATTTATTATATTTTCATTTTTTGATGATCTTATAATACCTAGATGTGAGGCCTTATCTGTCTCTGAAACGGACTTATCCCCAAGAGACCAAGAGCATATAGATTATTTCCTAGAGTTTGTGGAATTTTCATTTTGTTTAATGAGAACACTCTTTTCAGGATGGATATTATATTGATGTTCTTTCGAATATGAGTCTACTACATTGAGCATGATTTGCATTTCTTCATCCGAGTTAGATAAGAGTAGGATATCATCTGCGCACGTAGGACATCCTGCATAATTTGTGCCTAGATATAAACCAATATTTGAATCTTCTAACTGTCTTAAAAGGTCTTCAATATAAATTTTATAAAGATGCGTGGTTAGGATACCACCTTAAGTACAAACAAATTAATCGGTCTCATTTCAAAAAGGATAATGGTCTAAATGAGTGCTACATGTCCAAAGCTGAGCACAAGCTTATGCATGCATTCACTGTTATAAAAAATTCTAAAATCATATACTCAATTATGTTATTCAGTGAGTTTTACAAAAACTATACTTTGCAGTTGAAAGTTTTGAATAATTATCGTCTTGACATGCAAATATTTATTATTATAATAGATAAGATGGTCATCAAATTTGTCCTAAGATATATCTTATGACATGTCTTAGGATACTGTACTTTTGAAATCCAGAGCCCTGAATTCTTCACAAAATGACATAAGCAAGCAAAAAGATGACAGTCTTTTTTTGAAATGATGAAATTGAATTACAAGTTATATGGATTTATTATGAGACACATGCCTTTGTCAATCACTTAGACACTAATTTTATCACTTAGTTAATCCAGTTATCTAATTCAATATACAAACGTATATGTAGTGGAATCGATTACAAAAATGTATCTATTATAATAATTATTATTTAATCCATTACAATATTATTATAATAAATTGAAGCAAAACAATACATTCATTTTCTTTTTTTAAATCAATTTCTTATCGATCGTTTGGCAAATATATATATATATATTAGATGTAGAAAGTCTTATAACAACAACACTGGAGGGACTGCTGCAGAAAATTTATTGATCGACATGTTTCGGTGCCTAGGGCACCGTCATCAGGATACAAATAATACATTGAACATACTTAAGTGTACAATCGGGTTGTCTTGTGACAACGTCATAGTATAGTAGTTGTTATGAAAGGGAAGTAATAGTGAAAGTATAAATAGAAAATGTATATAAATAGATTGTCAACATGTAGTCTTCCTGAGTAAGGTCTATGACGTTGTCACAAGACAACCCGATTGTACACTTAAGTATGTTCAATGTATTATTTGTATCCTGATGACGGTGCCCTAGGCACCGAAACATGTCGATCAATAAATTTTCTGCAGCAGTCCCTCCAGTGTTGTTGTTATAAGACTTTCTACATTATTGTGTTTCATCATAACGACCCTGCATACCCGAGGTATCCACTTCAGGGACTCTAACTCACTACAGACTCACCAGGCGTTGGTTCACTTTCGTTTGTAAATATATATTAGATGTGGAGGTTTATATTTTGATCTACTTTAATCAACCTACTGATGAAAAATAAGAAAATTTTAATCTTTACCTGGCTCTGCCGACTGTGACATTTTCTG